AATTGGAGTCTTCCTTTTTCTCTTGGTTAGTTATTATATCTTTTCCTTCTCCTTGCTTTGACTTTAGTCTGCTCTGGTTTTTCTGGTTGCTAATGTAGAAGTTTAAGAACATTAATTTGAGACCTTTCTAAAATAAATATGTAATGTTGCAAATTTCTCCCTAGGCATTGCTTTATCTGTGTTCCATTAACTTTATTTTATTTTCATTTAAATAAAGTATTTTCTAATTTCTACTGTGATCTCTTCTTTAACCTATTGTTACTTAAAACAGACACTCAAACATCAGTCTCCTTTATAATCTTATAACCACTTTTGGTTTCTAAGACATGAAGCAAGGGGATTGTTTCTCTACAAATTTAGTATTCCTTAAAAAGATGAGTTTTCCATTCCCTTCTATTCTTTTTTCATGTAAGGGAGAGATATCTGCCCACATACCTGAATTTCAAAGAGCAGGCACTTTAATGTTTTTGTTTCTAGCAATGGGGCCTTGCTGATAATTCCAGGGAAAAATAGAGAAAATCCTGCTAAATAAGTTGTATTTGCATGAAACTGAATTACTAAATCAGTTCATACTTTTCTTCCATTTCTTAACCATAATTACTAAAGACTACTTACTGAGCAGAGCATTTAGGCCAAACTGATGGTGCTCCAGCTGAGACTCATTCCAAAATTCCAAAGTGTTTGTTTAATGTTGCAGAATAATCATTCTTTTGATTGAAGCAAAGGCCAGTATTGCACAAGGAGTAATATCATGTTACCAGCTTAAAAATTAGGAGACTATTTACTTTTCTTGTGCATGTTTAACTTTAAAAATACTTCTGTTTAAGGACCCATTTAATTAAAGTGTTCTGATGCGAGGGGGCATTTGTTAGTCTCTTTGAGCTTAAGAAACGTAATACTTATGTCATTATTGTTTGTTTTCTTTACGTGTCACTCTTTGAGAAGTCTCCCTTGAGGAAAAAAAAGCCTATTAAATTACAAATGCATGTGGAGGGAGAGAAATGAGATTTAGATTGGTTGATCCTAATATAGATCAGGTATTGTGCTCAGGCCATTATAGCCTTTTCCTGATTCCATCTTCTTAAGAGCCCTATCTAGGTGATATAATTATTAGTTCCATTTTGTAGGTAAAGAAACTGAGGTTTGAAGTATTATGAGGTTTGGAGTATAGCTGGCAGAAATCGAGATTAGAACCTAGTTCTCTAGTACCAAATTTCATGCTTTTTTCTGTCTACCATGCTTCCCTGAATGTGATGTTCCCAGTCTGTGGCTGATTTCTTTTAGTTCTATGGTGTCTAGAATGGTCTTACTCAAATGTAATTGATAGTTGAGTCTAAAAAATACAATTTTTTCTCTTCACATTTGTCATGTTATAGAAGCTTTGACTGTGCATGTACCTTAAGCAGAACCTGAAGATTTTTGCTTATGACATATTTGACATTGTATAATACTGATGTCACTTGGATTCCAGCCTTTGCAAATGTTTGGCCCAGTGGCAAAACTGAAGAGTGGGCAGCTTAGAACCTTCATTTTAGGCAGGGAGGGTGGACTAGAAAAGTTTAAAATTAATAATAAGTTTGATTGGCCAGTAGAAATGAGAAAGTGGATATTAGGGATATCAGAATTCAAGATAAAGCAGATAGCAGAGTCCCCAAAAAGAAAGTGATTGTTTAAAGTAGTATTCTAAAGTCCAGTTGGCCAGTGACTATGCTCTATGTAAAATGGGACAGTGATTCTCTAAGTGTGAGCCTCAGACCAGTAGCATTGCAACCCTTGTAGGCTTGTTAGAAATACAAATTCATGTGTCTCACCCTGACCTATTAAATTAGAATATCTATGACTGGCGCCCAGAAATTGTGTTTGACAAGCTTTACAGATGGTTCCTATCCATGGTAATATTTGAGAACCTCTAAACTACAGTAATAGAGTAGCAAATAGCAGGAGGGAGCAAACCAGAGTCACTGAAGGCTTGACTAATTGCTTCATATAGTTAATGAAAAATCATTGAAAGTGCTAGGCCACTGTGTTAGGGGCTGGTTCTATAAAGATGAAGAGATAGTGTCGTTGGTGATAGAATAGAGGGAAGAATGCATTTGGTTGAAGTTGTGTTGAATTTGAACAATCTAAGGCATACCTGAATGGTGGTGTCCTATAGTTAATTGGAAGCAGAGTTGTTCTGCAACTCAGGAAAGAGGTCTGGCCTGGAGAGTTATCAGTCTATAAGAGAGTAGCTAAAACTCTGAGATCTGGTGGTCTTGGGTGGAAAGGGTTGGGTGACAATGTGGAGTAGGAATGAACAAGATCAAGGGTCCGTGATTCCTTGATATCCTGTTAACCACATCCTTTCCAATCAGCACCAGGTTGTCAATTGTTCTAAACACATCCTATTAACCCTGATAGTGGGTGGGGGGAGGGGGAGTCTCCTCCCTTAAATAGTATGAGATGGTTGAACACATGATACCCAACACTGGACTATAGGTTTATCTTGGTAATTTGTCCCTTTTGAGGAATTAATCTATTTTCATTAAAGTTGTCAAAATTATTGTTTAGGTATTGTTTATAATTTTCCATTTTACATGCTTGATATCTTTAGAATCTGTGGTGATAAAAACGTGTTACTGATAGTGGTAATTTACATCATCTATTTTTCCCTGATCAGCCTGGCCCAAGATTTATCAATTTTATTGGTTTTATTCAAGATACAGCTTTTTAAAAAATTTTTTTATTTTTCTTGTCTTTCTGACTCATTTAATATTTATGATTCATTACATAAATTGTTAGTAAATTCCTATACCATAGAATGTTTGTTCTTCTATCTACTGCTCTTTTGAAGAAATGTAGGTATTTCTTTCATTTTTACTATCAAATTTTATATTTATAACTTAATATTTGATACATATTGCTATAGTCTGGAAGTTTGTGTCCCCCTAGAATTCACATGTTGAAATCCTAATCCTCAAGGTGATGGTATTAGAAAGTGGGATATTTGACAAGTGAGGTCATTAGGTCATCAGGTCAGGGCCCTCATGATAAGTGCCCTTGTAGAAGAGACTCCAGAGAGGTAGCTAGCTTCTTTGGCCATATGGGGTCACAGTAAAAAATGGCTATCTAGGAAACAGGACCTCATCAGACACCAAATCTTCCAGTGCAGATCTTGGACATCCCAGCCTCAATACTGTGAGGAATAAATTTCTATTGCTTATAAGCTTTCCAATTTTTGGTATTTTGTTGTAGCAGCTTAAACAGACTATAACATATATAAAATATATGTAAGGTATTTGCAAGCCAACAAATATAATCAAATAAATTCCAATGAGTTCATAGATTATTTTTACAACCTGTCAGATCTCATTAAATCTCATTTCTCCCCCGCCCTCCCACTGTATCTGTCAGAGGGTAGCTTAAAGTTGTGGAGGCATTTGATTATGTCTTATTATAGTCTAATCATACCTAAGAAAAATTGTTCTCTATATCAATTAGATTTTCCTGTATTCAAAGCTAACATTTGCTAAGTGCTTACCATTTGAAAAACAGTTCCTATTAGGTTCCAAAGAAGCAGGTGTTAAAATCATCTTTTTCTAATGGATGAAGTTTACTTAAAGCTGCAACAGAAATCTATTACTAGCTTAATCTGACATGAGTTTGTCTCCCTCAATGTAAAGTCTGCAATTAGTACTTCAAGAATAGTATGGCAGCTCAACAATGTCACATGTGACGTGTTTTCTTACATTAGGTTACCCAGGAGGAGACTCTGTTTTAAGGATTTGTAAGCATGTGATTTATTAAGGATATGTTCCCAAGAAAGACTGCTAAGGGAGTTGAGGAAGGGCAGGGCAGGGCAGGGTAAGGATGGACAAGAATCTAGGCAAGAATGCAATCTTCTACTGAAGTTCAGCCGGGGAAAGCTTTCTCATGAAACAGTGTGGGAAGTTTTGAATGAAATTCAAGACAGTCATGAGCTAGATTTCAAAAGCTTTGTGAGACTTTTGAGAAGAATGTAAACTCAGACACTTTCATCTCTTAGTAAGAGGGCAAAGCAGCATTCTTACTGTAAAGGCTGTCTTGTAAGAAGAGCTACAGTGCTGATATTGAAAGAATACAGAACACAGTAGTGTGGTGTTGGTGTGTGCTACTCACAGAAATGCCATCAAAGGGCCCAGTATAAATTAATCCAAGGAGATCTGGCAGAGCATCCACATTGCTTGCTATGCCAGGGCTCTTCCATCTTTCTCTCCTGCCATTTTCAATATGTAGATTTTTGTCTCTGTGCTCATCACCTCATGGTTAGAAGGTGGCTATTCTATCTTCACCTTCATATCTATGATCTAGGTAGGCAAATGGGGAGGGAGGAAAACCTGAAAAGGAACATATCAGGCAAATGTGTCCCCTTAAAAAGTTTTCTTAACTTTTCTGTTTGTATTTTATTGTCCAAATGGTTACCATGGGAGTTCTGAAAAGAGAAGGAAGAGAGTATGTTTTTAGTGGGGTACATCACTACCTGGTAAGCATTTCAGAATATTGAGTCATTTTATGATAAAACCATGGCCACACATCCTTTTGAAAAACAGTTTATTCAAGGTTATAAACAATGTAATGTGCATATTTGATTACTAATCACAATTGCTTAAAGCATGTCTTGTCCATCCACATGCTTAACATTTAGTGTTTTTCAGAAGGGATGATATAGATTCTGCTTTTATTTTTGTCCCTTCATAAAATTAATGGAACAAAGATATATTGTTCTTTAATTATATAATCTTATACAGTAACTCTCAGCTTCTTTAATATTCCACTAGACATTATATCTGATAGGTCTCAGCACACTGGACATTTAAAGCCCACACTTTCAGAATTGATGACATTTCATCAGTTTTCTGTTACTAAGTTTGTCATTTATCATAAATGTTAAGCCTATGAAAACATTATAGTAGAAATTGCTAAGGCCTCTAAATAAGCAAAAAGTATTCGTTTAGTAATTGAAAATATTACTATGTGGTTAGTAGAAGTTTTTACTACCTTAGCAACAGTAAAAAAACAAAGATGTTTGATGTCATCAAGAGGTATATATAAAACAATACAGTGTAAGGTAAGAAAAAACAGAAAAAAAATATTGGCATACAGAGGTTAGATAAAAAAGAAATGAATCTCAGGGGTATAGAAGAGATGTAGTAAGGCTATGTTGTCCAAAAGGAGTGAGGAAAGCTGGGTGTGGTGACACATATCTGTAATCCCAGCATTTGGGAGGCTCAGGCAGAGATTATGAGTTCGAGACCACCCTGGGCTACATAATCAGACCCTGTCTCAAAAAAAAAATAGACTGAAAAAGGGACAGAAGTTAAATGAATATTACAGAGTGAGCAGGGTCATTGAGAAACTGGGCAATAAAAGGACTCATATACATGGGAAGCAAATTTTGAAAAATTTCTGAAAAAGGGACAGAAGTTAAATGAATATTACAGAGTGAGCAGGGTCATTGAGAAACTGGGCTATAAAAGGACTCATATACATAGAAGAAATTTTATCCAAGGTGATGCATGTATCAAAAGTCATAGATCCATAGAAGCCAGGGTGAGAAGGACATAGTGTGCCATAAACACGAGAGACAACCAGTTACTGAAATTTTAATGCTAATTCTGTGTCTTTCTAGAACTTGATAGGTTAGAGGACTTCTGGCTTTACCATGATGCTAGGATTCCATAATTCTTGAGTACCCTAACATATGCTGTGGACCAGTACTTAAAAAACTTTTTTGGTTTGTTAAATACTTCCTTTAATTTCAATTATATGTGTAAACTAAAGTCTGTTTTGCTTCTTAATGTAAGAATGCCTTGCTTAAAGTTAACTCACAATATAAAATCCAGAATTTTAAAAATGAAACAATTAGAAGTAAAATTATTATTTTACAAATACTGGATTTATTTTTCCTAATTTTTGTAAAATCATCCCTGTCTTTTCACACATTTATACTATCTGCCTATGGATGTAAGCATTTGAAGTACCATAAACCTTGACAGAAAGCTCTTATCTGAGTGTTGCCTAAAGCATCTACACACTCGATATCTTATACTCTCTGAGGAATGGTCAATCAATGTAGCATGTGGTCTTTTTACTAGCAGTTCCAGTATTTCAACCTATTGTTGGGAACAAGGGGAATTTTTATAACTTTTTAAAATGGATCCATGTCTAAAGAGCAATTTGAGCTATGACACTTGCTTCTCTGCAGAGATCTCAGCCCTGAATGAGAAATTCTCATTTAGTAGAAAAAGATTCTCAGAAGAAGAAAAAAAGTAAAGGTCAAAGCTATATCTCTTCAAAAAGTTAGCAGGTTTATTTACCAATACCCTATTTAACATACCCACAGTTTTATTAAATACATAATAACACAGAGGAAAATAAAAATAGAACTAAAAGATTAGAAAAGCCATTTTTACACATATTAAGGAAAATATTCTATAGCATTCAAAGCTATTTCCCTTGGATGTTGCCTGTCTCTTTCTTTATCTCTTACTCATTTTTCAATGGTAGCATCTGAGTTGTCCAACCTAGAACCCACAGCTTTCCATCACATTAAGTTAGAGAGAGCTTAAACATGATATTCTCACTAGTCAGATTTTTTCCTTCCATTAGAGCAAGGTGATTATCCTTTACTCCTATGTATGTTCCACGATTACTCTGGCATTCAAATGAAACAAATTCGGAGGACTCCTCATGAAGAACAAAGAAGGCCTGTTCTGGCAATGGGGTTTCACACTTTTGAAGCTGAGGAAATAAGAGAAAAAGCAACCAATATGTGAATGAGTGGTCCAGAGTCAATTTTGTCTTCCTGTGTTAGAACTTATGAGGAACAATTATTTAAAACTGCTATTTCTAGCAATCCTGCTTACTGAATAAAGGAGAAGGAGGAGGAAGAAGTGTGAAGAGGGCTAAAAAAGGATGAGCAGAAGGGAGTTAATTTGATTCAGCAATAGTCAATACATTTAGAGAGGCAGTATGGCTTTGACGACTGAATCTGGATGCAGTGTCTCTGGGTTTGTATCCCTTTGTTGCCATGTACTGTCCTTGGGCATGTTGCTGTTTTTGAGTCTAGCCAGTTTTCTATCTAGATTAGTTATTTCCGAATTACATACAAACATATGAGTAATATAAATGATTATTATTTTAAGTCACCAAGTTCAGGATGGTTTGTTACATAGCAATAGCTGACCAATAAACTCTGCAGCAGACTTACAGTGAGAATTAAATAATACAGTATAGCAAGTACTTGGTATATAATGGAGCGCAATACAAATTAGCCCTTATTTTTGAGTAGTTATATATGCTAGACATTGTGTTATGTATATTTAGGAATGTTTTGTAAGGAAAATGCTGGTTACCATCCACTGCTTATGATAATGCCTCAACAACTGTATTAGTTAACTTTATAATTTTGTGTATCTATCTTCTATATTACATTCTCTTGTTTTCTTACTTGCTTCTATCTCTGGCTTTTTTGTTCTTCAAGATATTTATAATTCCTTATCATGCACCAATGTACTACTACCATTTACTAAGTAAAGAATACACAGTGAATTCCATGATTAAATGTAGATTGGCATGTTATCCATAAATCTTAATATATGGAAATGTTTGCTGCCCTCCCTTTAGCAAATATGCAGCATAACATTAATTTGCAAAGAAACACTTCCTGGAAGAATATAGTTCCTAAAGATAAATAGAAATAACTTGAGATCATTCATATGACAGTGCTTCTCAAACTTTAATGAAATTATGAATCTTCTAAAGATTTGTTAAAATGCTAATTCTGATTCAGTTGCAAGGGAGCTTGAAATCCTGTATTTCTAACAAGTTCCCAGGGTGATTCTGTGTGGCTGGTGGAAACCAGACATTCAGTAATAAGGTCACACATTACACTTCTTCCCATATTCCAGGAGCAAGTCACTAGTAGCAACTAATTGTGTTTATTTACATAGTGCAAACAAAACCCCTTCTCCTAAATACTCCAAACACTCAAATATATACAAATGGATACGGTCAATCATGATGATTATGTTTCTGTTACCTCCACAGAGTGCTTCTTCTTGTTGGCATGCAGCCAGATGTTTGTGTCTTTTGTAGGACTCAGGTTTACCATTAACATCTTACCATCAACACCATCACCTTATAATTAAAATGATAATTATGTGAGGCAATGCATTTGTTATCTCACTAGATTCAACCATTCTATAATACATACACTTTAAAAATCATGTTGTATATGATAAAGACATATAATTTTATCTGTCAATTAACAATAAAAAGAACAAAAAAAATTATAAATGATAAAATTACAACTTGTAACTCCTCTTGATACAAATGAATTTAATATCCAGGAAAAGAGTCTAAGATGTCAAGAAAAATAACTACTTCATTCACTGACAAATATTTTCACTCAAATAAAACTAAAGAGATATTATTAAATAAGTAGAGATGGTACTTCTAAATCCCTTGATGGAGGGCTGGGTGTGTGACTCAAATGGTACAGCACTTGACTAAGAAGTGTGAGTTCCTGAGTTCAAACCCCAGTACTTCCCTCCCCCCAAAAAAATCCCTTGAAGAGACAGTTTAGGATTTTTTTGGAAAAAAAAAAGTTTTCTAATTTGAGAATTGTGATTCTAATGGGCACTTCTCTGGGCATATGCTTACATGTTTGTATATAACACCACTGGTAATTGTCCCCCAATATCCATCTTCTCTTCTTATGTAATAATAGAACACTTTCTAGCCTGCCTTCCTGTGGCTTAGTGTTGCAATTGAACTAAGTTCTGACCAATGTGAGAAGAGTAGAAGTGTAAGGCACAACTTCCAGTTGTGCTCTTAAAGAGAAAAGTAATGTGTGCATTCACTTTTCTCTGTGCTGCTGATTGAACATTGTGATGGTGGCAAGGAATCTTGAATCATGTAGATATTTTCAAAGCCACAAGGTAAAAGGAGCTGTGTCTCTGGAAAAATCTTTGAGCAGAACTACCACTCTAGACCTGGCTAACCTTTATCCTAACTATTAATATGAAAAGTAGATGAGTTAGAATAAACCCTCAAGTGTCTTGGATTTTACCATTAGCTTCAGTTGGAAAGAATTTTTGAAACTTTTCTTTTCCCATAGAATATTTTGAATTTATCTTTACCCCAAACTTAGGAATTTAGAGACAAAAGCACTTAGGCCTGCAAATTACCTGATTCAGTTGAAGGGTATGGAGACTCATAATAACGCAATAACACCTTGTCTGAAAGAGAGTGCATAAAATCACCTGAGTGAGATACAGCTTTATCAAAAGGTTTCAGTTCCCATCATATACATAACACCAGAGAATATCCTTCCCTTCTAGTATGTATCAACAAAGCAAAACTTCTATGGTTCTGAAAAAGATCTCAAAATATGATGAATTCTATAACATAGTTGTTATTAAAATATTGTTGATAGTAGTGGCGTATTTTTTTTTACTAAAGATTACACTTTGGTGATATTGTTAAGGTTGGAAATATCTATCTAATGCATAATTTAGCCATAGCAAATACATTTGGTATTTCTTTAACAACAGATACACTTCTCAACATCTGTGTTCTTCCCCAAGGAGCCTTGACTAAACTTCCAAACCTTCTCAACTGACGGATGTTCGGGCATTCACTGTCAATGCATTGGAATTAGCATAGAGTGTGAAATATATTTGCTATACCTGTGTAAATCAACTTTTGATGGTTTGGTAGATTTATTTTTATCATAATAGTTATTACATAATTAATAGGCACAAGGAAATAGTCTACCTTTCTCTTGGTCTTTTCTCAAGTCTTCAACATTGATCACATAACTTCCATCCTCCAAAACAAAACTGACGGATTGATCATTGTATGTGCTCAGGGAAGCACGAGATTCTGTAATAGGTGAAATTCCTGTCATTAAGAAAAAATGTCATCAATTGTCTCATGAACAATTCTTTTGGCAAACTGTTTTTGAAGTGTTTCCTTGACAGATTGTTTTTCTCAATTTGAGCTATTTTTTATCATTGTTGGATGTGTGAAAGCCTTTGTCACAAGCTTTACACAACTCAGAGGCTGAGGTGTGACACCTGAACAGGGCCATGTGGGTTTATAGGAGGGTTTGATGGGGAGAAAGAAGCTAGTAGAGTGACAGGTATTGTCTGAGGGAACCTCTGTCTCTGGACTTCTTCTGGTTTAGGGGACTGTGGGAATGAAGGAGCTATATTTGGATAGACCTCAATAAATGAATGTCTACCTATAAGGTATGGTCACTTAGAGATTTTGAACCATCCAGTGGGATGCTGGTGTAAGCCCAGTTCTCTCCTCTGGCTAAATACCAGAGGCACTAAAAAGTTGCTCTTAACTTTTTTAATGTCATAGTGCACATAGAAAATAATAATATCTTTAAAGCATGGGAAGGTAAAAAGGAACAAATTTAGGGACTACTGAAATGGAGGCTGCAGGAAAAATTTTTACTGTATCTTCTTTATATTATAGAATTATGCAAGGAAAATAACATACAAAATGAGGAATTTGTATTGAACTTCTAAAGAAATTGATTTAAAAACACTCAATGAGACACTTTAGTATTACTTCTATGGACTTAATATATTAATATTAGGAATAATGTGTTAAATGGCAGCATGTACTTCCTGATCAAGTTTCCTTAGTGATAAATTCTTCACTTTTTCCCCCCACAGTGCTGGGGAATCGTAAGTACAGCCTTGCACATGCTAGGCAAGTGCTTACCACTGAGCGACATATCCAGCTGACTTCACTTCTTAATAATCACCATTTATTTGGAACTTTACACCACAGTGATAAAATTAAAAACATTTTAACTATTCTTTAAATATATCAGGTATTGAAATTATAGTTTTGAAAATAACTCTTTCTTTCCTTCCGTGGTCAAAATGTTCACATTTTAGAGAATAATATTGGGCTTTTCCCCTCAAAGGATAATATACTTTAAATAGGAATAATTTATGTGGGATTTTAGTCCATAGCAAGCATTCCAAAATAATGATGGCATGCTAACATAGATCAGCTATGTTGCTCCTAATTTGGATACTACTAAATGGGCACACCAGCAGCAAATGGAAGAAGACTTCTGGTTGCTACCTACAGTAGCACTTGCCAAAGTCCTGTATTTTAACTCCTTCCTCACCTCCCACATCACCCTTGTGACCAGTCGCACCTTGGATACTTGTTGCATTAGATGCTGTAGAATGTTCTTGAAGGCTAGGTAATACCAAGGTGGAGTGCTGTGCAGGCAGCTGTTGATAGACCAAGTTCACCTGATGTTTTTCTTTGCTCTTTCCACCTGCAGGATGGGAGCAGGGGTAGGAGTGGGCCATTAATACCTACTCTTCAAAGATGTTATGCCCTTTTGATGATTTCCAGTCAAGGCTGCATTTGACAGTGGTAACTGATGCCAGGGCATTTTCCACCCCTGTTGTCTAATGGGATTAATACTTCCGAACATCCTTATACCCCAGTAAAAGCATAACAGGAGGAAGAAAACTAGTCACCCATGGTCCCAAAATTCAAAATCAAACATTATCAACCATTTAGTTTACTTTCTTTTAAGATATCATTTAGAAATATTATAAACATATTTATATATAATTTTTTACTCTCTGTTTTTACTTAATAGAACCATTTCCTTCATGCTATTAAAAACCTTTTATATGCCCTTTTAGAAATGGTGAGCAAATAATTCATCATCTTTCTTCTTTTCCACAAGGAAAATTTGAGTAAGGAAAGATTTTATGTTTAGATGTATCAGGCAATGTGCAGTTTCTCTCACCTGTTTTCAGTGAACACCTTCTGGTGATTTCTTTCCTAAAGTAACAGGTGTTCTTCTTTATGGTAAGGCCAGAGCGCAGCCTCATATAGTACACATGACAAATTTCTTCAGCCTTCTGTTGGGGTTCTAAACAGGTGAAAAAATTGTGAGACTGCTTCATACTATCTATATTTGTATGTTTTTAATAATATTTAAGTGTAGCAGAAAAGGAAAGCAAGTACAGGTCCATAGTGTCTTACCAGAAACTCTTGCAACCAGTTATGTGTCAAAATTCAGTTTTTTTAGATTTTAAAACTGTAATCTAGAGCATATATATATATATATTAAAGACTGTGTCTGCAGTCCTTAATCAAAAAATTAATGAATTTTATAGTGAAATAGGAAACTTTGCACAAAGTGAATAAATACTTCATATTAGTTCATTTTATGATTTAACAAGACAAATGAGTTAAGGTCATCTCTTGCTGCCAAATGAGTTATGAAAAACTTTAGGTCTTCATAAAAATTTTGGCTTTTCAATTCCATTTGAGAAAGTATGGACCTATATCCAATATATGTCAATCTATGCCTAACTGGGGGTAAATGCTTATGTCCATATGAAACCTGAACTCTTTTTCTACTAATCTGGAACATAACTTTGAAGGGATGACTATAGTTGTAAAGGCTATTGGTATTAAAAATAACTGCCATTTACTAAGTGTCTATTGTGGATCAAGCACTCTGCTAATTATTTTATATAGGTTTAAATTTAATGCTTCACAATAATCTTACAATGTAGATATTATTATCCCAGTTTTACAGGTGAGGCTCTTGGGAGTCATGACACTTGCAAGGCCACATGGCTGGTGAGAATTTGTGACTAAGATGTGTCTAATATCAAAGCTATTCTTCACACTCTACCTCCATCTACGAAAATGCTTCACTGCAATTTGAGGGACTAATCCAAATTGAATCAGTTAAAGTAGAAAAATTAATTATTCAGTAATTCTTATTTCATTCAGTCAAGAAAAATGTAAGACTTGAATAGAAAATGAAAGTTGTTACTTAGAAATCATATAAAGCCTTTCGGAGTCAAATAGAAATGAAAATTGTAACATGTGAGTCATAGGATTTCAATTTTCAACTTTACAGTAAATGAATTATCAAGAAACTTATGCAATATAAGAAAATTTCAATGACTTACTGTAATTCAGAAAAGAAAATAATTATTTATAACTTTATAATCTATTCTATGATATTTTTTAATTGTCCAGAAGATTTTACTTTCCAATATAATGCTTTTCAAAGTCAAGTGGAATAAACTTTCATTAGTCACTATTTTGAACTATCCATATCCAAGTTCAGATCAGCAGCTACGTTTAAGTATCTTCAACTGTCTGAAAAGTGGATAGGCCATTTAATTACTTTCACATCCATCTTTGAACTCCCTAATATTGCTTCACAACTCAGGAATATCAACTACAGCATCTCATATTTAAAATGTGCTGTTACAATTACAAAGGTAATTATAAAGCCAGCTGGCTCCAGTGCCACCATTGTAGTTGATCTCCTGATAACTAATTTGATACAATACTTTATTAACTGTACCACACTGTCCAGTGAGAGCTAAAAGGTCTAAAACCATACAGAAAGCATGCTCATTCCTTATATGTTTACCTTTATGGGCATGTGATAGGTATGTCTAATATTTAGGGTAAATGCTAGGGAGCAAGATATGGGTTTGGATAATTAAAAATGAGAGTTATAATACAGAGGAAATATTGTGGAGATAGAAGAATAAAGTAAAGGATTATGAAGAGGTAAATGTATACAATGTAGACCTAGCATCTAGTGGGACAAGCACTGAGTATAATTAGTGAGGAATGCACCTACATTTGAAATATTGAAAATGTTTTGTATTGGGAGAATTTTGAAGATGGTAACTTTGGTGGTCTGGGCAGCTGAAAGTGTGGGGATTGTGTGCTTATGAAGAAAATACAATGCTCACATGGGTGTCTACAGAAGAGAGTGCTCCACCCAGGCAGAGCCAGCTCAGATTTACATAGGGGTACTACTACTTTCTGTATCTCCATCCTGCCTGCTCTCTGAAGGCAGTGCCTCAGTATGGTTTTTAAGGAAATTTGATAGCTGGTATTATCATTGCAATATTATGAGTTCCCTGAGGCATTTTTAGTGAGTACATGGGAAAGGGCCTGGAACTCTTTCTATAATTCTGGCCCCCAGGGAGCCAGACTATGGGTGACAGAGACTACAGATGTGAATCACTTCATTGTGTATTTCTGCCTCAAATACCTATTTCACCAAGGTCTCTTCTCACTTTTTCCTACCTTTGATCTATCTGTGACATTTGACTCTGGGGACAATTTCCTTCTTTGAAGCCCTTTTCCTTTATTGCCATGTTACCAGTAGCCTTTGGTTTTCCTTGTTTCTGTCTGATCGGTCCATCTCCATCTTCTTTGTTAGTTCTTCCCCTTCTGCCTGCTACTAAAATTTCAGTGTTCCTCAGAGTTTTCTCTTTGCCTTGTCCTCTCACTCTGAACTTTCCAAGCAATCTTGCTTCCTCAGTGACTTCAATCATCTGTTTAAATGACTCCCCCAAACTGTAATGTTGTTTTTGGTCTTTCTCCTGATTTATCTGTTGTTCAGTATCAGTACTAGTAGTTTCTTATTATTCTCTTCTTCCAATATATTTTTTCTGAATTACCTATCTTGAAGAACAGTGCAACTAGCTGCCATTATCTGCCTGATTCTAAAATTAAAAAGCTGAGATCATTTGTTTTTTCCCTCTCTTTCATCCTTCAACTTATTCAATGTATCATTAAATCTTACTCATTTCCCCTTACAAATGTATCTGAAATGGAATCCTTTCTCTCTATTCTGTTGTTTTAGGTGAGGCCTTCAATATTAGTCTCCTAGAAAATGCAATAGACTCAAAGCAGTCACTCTATCTTCATACCACTAGCAATGTGATCTCTCTAAAGTAAAATCAGCTTATCATTCCCCAGTTAAACATTATCAGTGGTTACCTACTGTCCACAGGATAAAGTTTAGTCTCCTTCACTGATAGGTCTTGGATGGCAAGACTCAAACTGAAGGGATCGATCTCTAACTACTTCTAGACAACTAATGCCATGCAGGGATATGAACTTGGGGCCTTGCTACTTGTTAGGCAGATGCTCTGCCATTTGAGCCACAACCCCAGTCCTCTCTTACTTTAGCCTGGCTGGGCCCAACCTTGACTGAGATCCTCCTACTTATGCCTCAAGCCTAGCAAAAGGACTGGGAGTGTGGCTCAAGTGGCAGAATGCTTACTTAGCAAGCTGGAGGCTAGAAATTTAAACCCTAATACTGCTGTGGTGTGTGAAGCATTAAATTGAGCTAATATTATTGAAAAGAAGATTTGCTTAAGGGAAATTAAAAACAATGTGTCATATTCTAAAACCATAAAAATGTTTTATGTATTATCTTTATCACTGTCCTCAAAATAGTATAGATAAGAAGTTAGGATCACTGTACCCATAAAGAAGGAGTTATATTTCAACTTTGGCACTAATGCCAGCCCCTCCAACATGCTTACTGTCACATTCCAGTATCTATAAAGAGTTCTTATTTCCCAGATAACAAAGAAAATACACTATTTAATAAGAAGGAATTTGCACTCTTTTTGTGCAGAGCATTTTGGCTTCGTTTACAAGTAAAAGGACTAATTTAACTGTGATTTTTTTTGGCCATTCAGAAATTAGTTTTTTTCCCTGATTACCAAAGGACATCATCGGTAGGCAAGAGCCTCAGAAAGAATAGAAGGGAACAGAAATAATATTCTTTAACACTGCTTTCTCTTCTGGCCTTACATGTTCATGGAAAGGGAGAAGAGAATGAAGGACAAAGATACACAGATCTCTACCACCATTCCTCATCCTCCATTTCCTCTTCAGTCCATCAGAGCTCTGTTAACTCTATTTTGTGTTACTGCTACTACATGAAAAAATATGCACATAAATTTGCATGATCCTTTCATAGGTAGATAATTTTAAGGATCAAAAGAGCATGTAGTCTTTTCATCTCAAAGCTATAGATGTTACTTGATTTCATTTCCCTGTCATCTTATTCCAAGTGCCTGGAGTTTATAATTAGATAGACTTTAGCATCATCTGATCAATTCTGATTTATTTGGGGCCTAGAGTATTCAAATCTCTTCACTTGTTATTCTATCCTTCATCAATAATCATAAGTCAGGACCACATGCTTGATACACCAAAAGTATGGACACATATTTGCTGAATGAAAGTAGATCAGTATAGAGTTTTACTAGTTAACTAGGGAAAAAGTCTTTGGGATTTGGTGGCAGGAGGTATGGGTAGATCAAAGGAGTTATTATGAAAGGCTATTATTTAGTTTTCAGTATTCATAGTCTAAATTATGTGAGCTGATACTGTCCTGTGATACATTGAATAAGCAGAAGTTGGCTAAGTATATAGTCAGCTCAAAACCAAAAGCTACCATATTTATTTCAGTTCTTGAAAGTAACATGAATAAACATTGGAATAATAAACATTTGATAACAGATTAAAAAGAGTGGGTAAAATAGCCAAAAATGCTGAAGTCCTTACTTCGTAGTCGGCAAGATTTTACCAGGCCTTTGTGTGCTGTGCTGTTCAGCTTTGCTGGGAAAATTTTTGAAGTTGAATACTTTGTTTTAGGCTTCATTTTTCAGGTTTCTGTTGGATTAAAATATAATATTAGTTCAACTCTCTCAAGTTGAAAACAGAACAGAAACAACATGGCTGATTCCATATGAAATTGATGATCTAACCACACAGCAAATATAATTATTTCAGTACAATTTGAGATAGAATAAAATGATAGAGCAACAAAGACTTCCAAAAAATCTTAAATTTCACATAGTAGGTTGATTGTTAGTGGTGATATTGGTATGAAATTCACAGATTTTTTTAATATTATAGTACAGAGCAAACAGGTAGTATATTGCTGCTATATGATTTGCACTGTAGGGGGTGGGGAACCAGAAGCTGCAACCATAATATAAGCCTAGAGAGTGCAAGTGGCCTTAATGACAACCGAACGGCAGAAGAAACCCACGGTTCTCACAAGACTTAAATCCAGTGAGGAGATTTGGTCTGAAAATGATTTCTCCTCCATGGAAAGCTAGCATTGGAGAAGAAATTCATTGCACTCTCCCCATATCTCAGACTGCTATAACCAGATGCCATCTCAAGGGGGGCCTTACTGTTTGAGGCTTAGTTACTTTGAGGATGTGAAAATACAAAAAGATCACAAATCCAGCTGCTTGCGGACACCTTGCTGTAGAGTCCCACAAGGAACTCTGGCTGCAGAAGTTAGGGTAGTTAATGGTCCCACCTGATTCCTGAAGTTTGTGGATTACTGAAGAGACAGAGCTCTGAGTCTGAGGCCAGTGGATTACTTGGTTTCTGAAACTTCCTCACTGCAGCAGGGTGATTTACTGCAAGGTACAGTCTGGAAGCACTGAAATGCAGGCAGACAGATTGCATGATTCCCTCTGCTTTCTGCCTCCAGTGCAGAACTCAGTGATCTACTCACTTCCCTCAATCTCAGATGCACTAAGGACACTCCTAGGATAGGATATTTGCCACATAGACTGAGTGTACAGATGAAGGAGCCCTGTGGGACAAGTAGGACCCTGCCTGGCACACAGGGCATAGAGATTATTGAGGTAAGCAGCAGCTCCGGGCGTAAAAAATAGGGGAAGCCTTTAGAGTGAATGCAACCCTGATGCTGACAATATACTCTTTACTGGCCTGGAAATCAGCCTACATACAGCACCAACTTGCATGGTAGAAACAAGGAAACTACGATAGACCTGAGCTACAAACCACTGCCCTTCCCAGACCTGATAGAACCAAATGAAAAGATCCAGATCTAATTTGTTGCCTCCCTTTTTAATTCATTTATTTTAATTTTTATTTTTTGTTACGTCTTGTTAAATTTTTATTCCTATTTCTTTTATCTAATTTTATTTTCTTTATAATTGGATTTTTAATCTCGTGCTTTTTCTCTCACATTAATGTTGCTGTTTCTTTTTTCCTTTCTCCATCCCCTTTTTATTTCACTATTGTATTATTATTGATTTTATCTTCATTGATTTTTAACTTCATTGTTTATTCTACATTTTTCTTACCCTTTCCCCCCAATGGTTATTGGTGGTGTGGTGTTGTCTTTAATTGACTTTTATTGTATTCTATTATCTGGTTTGTTCTGATGTTGTCACTCTTATGGTAGCTTGTTTTCTCCTCTCTGAGTGCCACTGGGTATTGAGCCCTCAAACAAAGACTGCTCACTAAGAAGACCCCATATAAAACTGGAAGACATATTCATCCCAACTGATATACAATAAATAACATAGAAACACAACAAATATGAAAACACAACATAAGTCCTCCAAAAGTTCATAACTCTTCAAAAAAGAGGATACAAAGGTATTGAAGTAGATAAAATTCTGTATAAATAATTCAAAAAGCTAATTGCAAAAATGATCAATAATTTTAAAGAAGATACAAATAAACAGCTAAGAAAAGGAAGATAAGCAAGATACAAGTGAGAATTCAGCAAGGGGAGATTCTGAGGAAAAAAACCAAATGGAAATTAAATCTCAGTAAATCAAATCAAAGTCAGTCAAGGTGGCTCATGCCTGGAATCCCAACTTCTCAGGAGGTGGAGATTGAGAGGACAATGGTTCAAGGACGGTCTGGGCAAAAAGTTAGTAAGACCCCATCTCAACTAATAACTGAACATAGGGTGCATAAATAGGAAGATCCTGGTCCAGGCTATCCTAGACAAAAATGCAAGTGTCTACTTACAAGTAACTAAAGCAAAAAGGACTGGTGATGTGGCTCAAGTGATAAAGTACCTGCCTAGCAAGGATGAGGCTCTAAGTTTAACTCCCAGTACCACCAAAATAATAATAATAATAATAATAATAAAATAAATAGTGGAAATCATCACCAATAGTCTACATGAAGTAGAACAAAGGAAATCAGTGCTCGAAGACAAGATTGATGAATTATTAAATTCAGCTAATAAGAGAAAAAATTAATTATGACCACAACAATCAAGAATTTAGGGTCATGATTATGAAAGCAAACTTAGAAGAGGGTGCTGACATACAGACTAAAGGCACAGACAGCATAGTCAATGAAATAAGAGTAGAAAATTTCCTAAATCTAGGGAAATATATGGACATCCAGGAACAGAAGGCATTTAGAACCCCAAATAGATATGATGAGAAAAGAACTTCTCCATGTACTATTAGAGGTTTTAAAACTAGAGAATAACAAAAACAAAGAAAAATGTACAAAAAGCTACAAGGGAAGAATGTTAGTGTTATTTAAAAAGTAATAATAGCAGATTTCTCATCAAAAACCCTAAAAGCCAGGTGAGTGTAGTTAATGTATTTTAAGATTTTAAAGAAAATAACTTCCAACTAAGATCACTATATGCAGCAAAGTTATCCTTTAAAGCAATTAGAAAAATAAAAACCTTCCAAGATAAGTACAAACTAAAGCAATTCATGACCACAAAGCCAGCATTGCAGAATACATTGAAAAATACCTCACATTAAGGAGGAAGAAAGATTTACACAGTCGTTAGAGCTCAGGAAAGAGTAAATCTCACTAGAAGAATAGACATACAAATGAAAATTAGAAAAGAATGAAATATTATTCACTCAATAAAGTATCAAACTTCTAAGATGAATAAGGGAGAAAGAAAAGAACACAGTATTTGAAATAACCAGAAAAATAAACTGACTAAATAACAGAATTACTACTTACCTTTCAACAATAACTCTAAATATAAATGATCTTAATCTTAAATGATTAAGATGTAGATTGGCTGACTAGATCAAAAACAATATCCAACTGTTTGTTGTCTGTAAGAAACTCATGTCAAAGAGCCACACAGAGTAAAAGTGGAAGTATGGAAAATGATATTCCAAGCAAATAGAATGCAAAAGCAAGCAGGAGTACCATACTTAGGTCTGGTGAAGCAAACTTCACACCAAAATTAACCAAAAGAGATAAAGGTCACTACATATTAATGAGGAAACAATCCATTAAGAAGCTATAATAGCTGTGAATACATTTTTCCCAACTTTTATTGTACCTAATTTCATAAAACAAACACTACTGGACATAAATGAACATATATGTCCAGATACAATAATAGTGGGTGATTTTAATAAGCCATTATCATCAGTAAATAGACCATCTGACAAAAATATCAACAAAGAAACTTTGGAGTTAGATTGCACCATACAGCAAATGGACTTAAAAGATAGCTATAGGACATTCTATCCAGTAGCAGCAGAATACATATTCTTCTCAGAAACTCATGAAACTTTTTTCAAAATAGATTACATTTTAGGATAAAGCAAGTCTTAACAAAGACAAAAATCAAAGAATTTCCTGTATCTTAGCAGATCATAATGGAATAAAACCAGAAATCAATAGCATGAGAAACTATGGAAATTATAAAAACATGTGGCAATTGAACAATATATTTTTGAACAATCAGTGAGTCATTGAAAATATCAAGGAGGAAATTAAAAATTCCTAGACTCAAATGAAAATGAAAACACAACTTACCAGAACTTTAGGGATACCATAAAGGCAGTAAGATGCAAGTTTACAAATATGCATGTTTACATTAATAAATCAGAAAGATTTCAAATAAATAACCTAATGATACATCTTAACAAATGTAAGCCAAATCCAAACTTAGTTATAGGAAAGAAATAATAACTATCAGAGCTGAAATTAATGAAAAGGGAACTAAAAGAATCATGCAAAAGATCAATGAAAGAAAGAGTTGGTTCTTTTAAAAGATAAACAACATTGACAAAACTTTATCCAAACTAACCAAAACAGAGAGAGAAAACCCAAATTAATAAAATTAATTTAGGGGAGTGGATATTACAACAGACACCACCAAAATCCAGAGAATTATTAGGGAATATTTTTAAAACTTGTATTTCAATAAATTGGAAAATACAGAAGGAATGGATAAATACCTAGACACGTGTCATGACCTACCAAAATTGAGCCAAGAAGATATAAACAACCTAAACAGATCAATAATGAGCAATGAGATTGAAGCAGTGATAAAAATTTTCTCACAAAGAAAAGACCAGGACCAGAGAGATTTACTGCTGAATTCAATCAGAACTTTAAAGAAGTAACACAAATGCCCCCTCAAACTATTCCATAAAATAGAAACAGAAAAAAACACTTACAGACTCATTCTATGAAACCAGTATTATCCTCATACTAAAACCAGATGAAAACACAACAAAAAAAAAGTATAGAGCAATTTTCTTGATAAATGATGCAAAAATCCTCAATAAAAACTTGCAAACTGAAAAGGCTGGCATGGTAGTATACAACTGTAATTCTAGCACTCAGGAGCCTGAGACAGGAAGATTATGAGTTCCAGGTTAGACTGGACTATATAGTGAGTTCTGGTCCAGCCTGGACTACATAGTAAGACCCTGTCTCAGAGAGAAAGAGAACAAATAAAAATCCTTGCAAACCAAATTCTATATCACATTAAAAAAAGATCATATACTATGATTAAGTTGGTTTTCTCACAGGGATGCAAGTGGGCTCAACATATGCAACTTGATTAATATAGCACATAAATAGAATCAAGGACAGAAATCATATAATCGTCACAATAGATGTAGAAAACTTTTGACAAAATCCAACATCCCTTCACCATGAAAGCGTTGATGAAAGGATCATACCTCAACATAATAAAAGCTACATACAGCAAACCTACAGTATACTATATATTTATACATTTAAATATACTGTACATTTATACATTTAAATATACTGTATATTCATACATTCTTATTATATTAAATGAGAAAATCTGAAGAGTTACCCCTAAAATCAGGAATGAGCAAAAGGTGTCTACCCTCACCACTCTTATTCAACATAGTGCTTGAATTCTCAGCTAGATCAATAAGGCAAGAGAAAGAAAGAAGGGGAATGTAAAGAGGAAAGGAAGAAAATTATCCCTATTTGCAAATGATTTGTTCCTATAGTTAAAAGACTCTACCAGAAAACTCTCAGAATTGATAAACACTTTCAGCAAAGCAGCAGGATACAAATTAATAGCTTTTCTACATAGTAATAACAAATACACCAAGAAAGAAATCAAGATAATAACTCCATTCACAGTGTCCTCAAAAAATAAAATAAGCCTAACCAAGAAGGTGAAAGGCCCATCAATGAAACTATAAAACTGAAGAAAGAAATTGAAGAAGACATTAGAAGGTGGAAAGACTGCCCATGTGCCCATGTTTAAGGATCTGCAGAATTAATATTGTGAAAATAGCTATATTGCCAAAAAAGCAATCTACATATTCAATTCAGTTGCCCTGAAAATTT